ACTGGCCTAGGATAATTTTTAAGAGGGGTTTTTAGAGGGGTTTTTAATTACATTTTAATTAGACAATTTAAATATTTCATTTTAATTAATTTTAACTTGTGATTGTTAGTGGTGTTTTTAATTGATTGTCAGCCGCCCTGAGTCCGCAAGGAGAAGGGCGGGATATAAATTCAAATAATAAATAAATAAATAAAATAAAATCTCCACAGTCGGGGATTAGCAAGTATCCTTCTTTGTGGACAGCAAGTTCAACTTCCCAGGGAGAGGCCCCTCTCTTCCAATCTCAACAAGCGGGGAAAGTGACATGCCAAAAATTGGCTGATCAAAAGTCTTGAAGCTTCTTGGCTGTTTGATCCTGCTGTATGATGTTCGCTCTCCGTTTCTTCTTTGATTAAGGCATTGCTGGTGGCCTCACCAACCTTTCCAAGATGCCAGCTTGCAACATCATGCTCCTGGGAGCCCACAGAAAAACTCTCTTGGGCTTTTCCAGCACTTCTGTATTGCCACACACTGGTTACATCTACCATAGTGACATTGTACAATCATTGCCTCCGGTAGGTGTGTGAATCCGAAGCTCCTTTTCTGATTGATGTATTCATGCATCAGGCTCCAGCATTGATTTTTATTCATTCTTTGTAGGATCTGCGGAGGAAAGCTGCACGTTTGGTGTCAGCAAAATGTACCCTAGCAGCTCGAGTAGACAGCTTCCATGAGAGTCCTGAAGGGAAGGTGAGGCATGCAGGTTAAGGGCTTGGCTTTAAGGCAGCCGTCTCCAACCTTTCTGGCTCTGTGGACTGGCAGAGGAAGAGAAGGCAGCTTGTGGGGGGGGGGAGGGGATAGTTTTGTGTGCGCCGCTTTCACAAATGCAGCTTCGCAAGTGCATGCGCACACTTGCCCACCACTTCTGAATGGGTGCATCCTAGCACTGGGCCGCAGACCAGGGGTTGGGGACCCCTGCTCTAGGACACTGGGGTAGTAGCAGGGATAGGAACATAAGTCAGACTTCCTGGGACATCTCTAAGTGAACTTTTAAAAGACTTTGTTTTACTGAAGATATGCAATAAGTCCCTAAGATATGGACCTTCTTCAGAAAGCTATTTAATCCTTCTGGAGCAAGTTGGGTACCAGCAGTAATTATTGTTTTTGTGTTTATAAACATTGTAGAGAATCCATAAAGTCTTAATAAGGAAATGGGTAATTCCCCCAAATGAAAGGGGATTTAGATTGTCAAGACAAGGAAGAAGGGTATCTCTGGCTGCACATCTTCTTGTTGTTCTTCCTAGAGAAGAGCAGAATTGGCTTTGCAGTCCTGATTATCTCTACACCAAAATATCTTAAATATCTTATATTGAGAGGTGCTAGCTGGCTCAAGGTTTGTCAGTCTGGGTTGTTTTTGAACTTGAGTTTCCAGGTTCTAATATAACTTATTACCCTTCCCTATTTTTGTGAGAAGGCAATTTTCAGTTTGGCCTAGGGAATGGATCTACTGTGAGAGGCAGATTAAAAATGAAGTAACTGATTTTTCTGTAGGGAAAGATTACAAAGATACAGCTAGGGCAGGGGTAGGCAACCTTGGCTCTTTTATGACTCGTGGACTTCAACTCCCAGAATTCCTGAGCCAGCATGGCTCAGCTTGGAAACCTCTCCCTTTCCCCTCAGCATGGCTGGCTCAGGAATTCTGGGAGTTGAAGTCCACAAGTCATAAAAAAGCCAAGGTTGCCTACCCCTGAGCTAGGCCAAGAGGACAGGTTGAGAAGGCCAATAGATCAGCTTTAGTCTGTAGGGATGTAATCAGTCTGGTTTTTAGTATGGCTCCCAGAACTCAACCTCTTCAGATAACAGAGGAATCATAAAAAAAACCTGAACCTTGGGTTTGTCATAGGGTGTTGCTCAAGTATATGCATGGAGTCTACGAACAGCAGATACAGCAACCAATTTTCTTCAGTCAAAGCTGGAACTCTCACTTTCCCCACTTTGATGCAATGTTGCTCTCCAGAGCTTTTCACTAATGTGACCTCCAGCTTGAAAAGAGCTCCTTTTGCCTGCTGCAACTTCATGTTTTACTTCTGTTAACAATCCAGGTTGGATATGACCTGAAGGAAGAGCTTGAGAGGAAGTTTGATAAGTGGCAGGAGCCACCTCCAGTGAAGCAAGTGAAGCCACTGCCAGCCCCTCTGGATGGACAGAGGAAGAAACGGGGAGGCCGCAGGTATGGGGATCCAGGCAAAAAGCTTGGGAAGAGCTAAAGGGGAAGGTCAGTTCAAATGCCAGGATGTGAGAAGCAGGTCAATATCTGTCAGGGTTCTTAGTTTTCCAAGAACTGGACACACCACAGCATAACACGTCTGTACACAGTATTTTATTGCAGCACATACCATCCCTAACAATAGACTATCACTCTCTACCCTTGCAGGACTTACAAGATGATGTTGCCATGTAAATATTTCGTTAATACTCTAATACTTAGTTTAAGCCAAAATCTGTGGGTAAATTGACATACAATCTTCCTTCCAAAAGTTCTTACACTGGTTAGGATGAGGCTTCAGTGTGTTTTATTCCTCTTTGAGTTGCTACTGAGCTCTTGCAGGATGTGCTACTCATTGTACAGTAGTGGCCAAAATTGTGGAAACCTTTTGGGAAAAGTGTATTTTTGAGGTTTGATGGCTAATAACACCACTTTCTTTTGGAGTAGTACCATAAAATTATATATCAATGGAAAGATAATGTAATCAAGAATGTAATGCAACATAGTTTGTTCAATTATCTGTACTGTATTCTATGAAAAGTTATAGCCAAATAACCAGAAAAAGGAAGTACAACTTGCTTAGGTTGATATCAGGTAGCTTTCCTTCATCTGATTGTAGCCAATGAGCGTGAGTGTTTAGAGAGCCAATCGGGTGTCATCTTGTTTTGGCAATGAGCCAATCAGATCACAGTAGGATTCAGTTATTGATGTCATGTATTAAAGCTGAGAGGAGGACATTTGTCAGTGTGTTGTGTGATCCCTATCAAGTTGCTTGGGTTTTTTTTGTGTTCTTTCATTTAGTGAGCTTGTAAAATGTAATAAAATTAAAGTAATGGTGCAAAGAGTTGACTGGTTGCCCAGAAAGCGATGTAAAATAGTATTATTAAGTGAACAAGGCTACAGTTATAAAGAAATTAGAAGAAAAATTGGTGGAAACTTAACCAAAGGTGGCATTTCTACTGTACACTTTTCCCAAAAGGTTTCCACAATTTTGGCCACTACTGTAGCTTGTGGTCCTGGCAGTTGACTGATAGTCGTCTTGCCTACTTGCAATACCTGCCAATCTCCAGACATTGCCTCCAACGCCCCATCTGAATGCCATTTGCTTTTCTCCTCACCTCCTGTAGACAGACAGACACAGTTTATTTTGTTCATTGAGCAGGACGGTCATTTTTGTTGTGGTAGAGCTAAGAACTGCTTCCAACTATTTGGAAAGGGGGGAAGGATTAAGTACACAAAATCGGGGACCCATACCCAGGGATTCTGATATTTAGTGCACAACTCATCTGGATTTTAGGTTATAATCTAAAATGATCCTTATTATGGTCGTAGACTAGCATAGGTCATAGCATAAAAAACTTGCAATTTTCAGTTGGATTTTTTTTTTTAAAAAAAGTCTTTTTGCTGGCTTCAGGTATCGTAAGATGAAAGAACGCCTCGGCTTAACAGAAATCCGGAAGCAAGCAAACCGGATGAGCTTTGGAGAGGTATGAGATTCTGCACTGTCACAGAATCTTTCTCTGTGTTGCTTTCAAGTGTCTTCAGTTCTCATTCTTCACATCTGAGGAATGAAGTTCTATATGGAAACTTAAATGTTTTATTTCTTCATATAAGAAATACACGGTTTTGTTACAGTTCTAAGTAACTGCCAGAACTTGGTTGCTTTCCTCTTTATGTGCAAAGCCCAAGCCGTGTTCAGGGCTGCTTTCTGAACATACCGATTTGAATTGAGAACACAAACATTTCTGCCTTCAAAAATGGTTCTCATAAAAAAAGAGGCAAAACTTCATAAATCTTTCAAGCTGACGCTCCAGTATCCATCCTGAGTTTTGTTTCTGATGATTCTAGGTTGGGGAGCATCGCCCCTGAAGCAACAAGTCTACAACTCGGGGGTACTCCTAAACTTAACAAGTGTTGCCGAGTAGGCAGGGGAGAGCGAGGTTAAGGTTAAGGTTAGGGTTAGGGTTAGTTGCACCAGTTTTGTAGCCCTTCCTGGAGCATGATTCCCTGTCGACAACTCCCTATGCCCTTATTATCTCTTAAATCAACTATTGTAGTACAGGTAGTCCTCGTCTTATGACATTTGGGACTGGAACTTCCATTAAGTGATCATTAAGTGAGTCACAGATAAGCGAATCATGTGGTCATTAAGCAAATCTGGCTTCGCCCATTGACTTTATCAGAAGCCTCCTGGAACAATTGCAAATGGCAACCGTGTGATCCTGGGACACTGCAACCATTATAAATACATGCTGGTTGCCAAGCACTTAAATTTTGATCATGTGACCGCAAGGACACTGACAGTCATAAGTGCGATGTCTGGTCATGAGTCATTTTTTTCAGCACCATCTTTAACTTCAAATGGTTGTTAAATGAAAGGTCATAAGTTGACTATGATCTGTATATATTTCAACATATTTTGAAGATTACCCAGAGTATGCCGTTGGCATGAAATGCAGCTGATAGGTGAGATTTACCAGTGCTATATAACAGTACTGTAAGCATGGCATTAACTACCAATAGGTTCTTGAGTACAATTCCAGGTGCTGGTTTTAACCTAAAATGCTGTATATGTTCATGTGTTTGGGTATCTGAAGAGTCATCCGCTTGAGGTAGAACCAACCCATGTGGTCCATTTGGGTACAGCTTCTGTAAAATGAAAGGAGTCCTTTGGTGGTACAGAAATGACATAAATACATTATTTACTTCACTTCCTCTCATGCCTTTCTTAGATTGAAGAAGATGCTTACCAAGAAGACCTTGGGTTCAGTCTTGGCCATTTAGGCAAATCAGGCAGTGGCCGTGTCCGGCAGATCCAAGTCAACGAGGCCACAAAGGCCCGCATCTCAAAAACACTGCAGGTGAGGAAATGGAGAACATTGTAGTGTTCAATTTCTGGTTTTGTCCTTCTAAGGAGCAGGTTTGGCACAATCTCATTACAAATGCTTTGGGCTTTTATAGACCTCCAGAATCGGGTTTAGTGCTTTTGACTGAATGCATGCAACATGCTGCAATTTAATGTTTTATTGCAGGGCTGTCCAACCTTGGCAACTTTAAGATTTGTGGACTTCAATTCCCAGCATTCCCCAGCCAACCGTCTGGAAGTTGAAGTCCACACACAAGTCTTAAAGTTACCAAGGTCAGACACCCTTGCTTTATTGCATGTGAATGCTACCATTGTAGTTTGTAAACTTTAGTTCAGTTATTGCATACAGTCATAGTCACAAGATCAGCTGTGTAATCTTTTATCACTGTGTGATTGTTTTGAGCATGTATGCATTGATTCTTGCTTAGGACTCTTTGGAAGTCTCTCCCTGCCCAAAGCCTTTTGCCCTCCACCTTGATAAAGTGCTTCTTGAAGCATGAAAGCTTTACTGTGCTTAAATTAGCTGCCTGTTCTAACAGCATATCTTACCATTAGGATTTTACTTTGGGGAAGACTGCAAATGTTCCCAAAGGACATCTAGAATACTTGTTCCCTACGATTTCTAGCTACTGATTTCCATACATGATATATACAAGTAGTCCTCGACTTACAATCACAATTGGGCCCCAAATTTCCATTGCTAAGCAAGGCAGTTGTTGAGTTTTGCCCCATTTTACGATCTTTCCTGCTACAGTTATTAAATGAATCACTACAGTTGTTAAGTTAGTAACACAGTTGTTAAGCGAATCTGGCTTTCCCATTGATTCTGCTTGTCAAAAGGTCGCAAAAGCTGATCATGTGACCCCCAGGACACTGCAGCCATCATAAATACATGCCAGTTGCCAAGCATCCAAATTTTAATCACGTGACCATGGGGATGCTGAACGGTCTTAACTGTGAAAAACAGCCATGTCACATTTTTCTGTGCCATTTTAATTTCGAACAGTCACTAAACAAATGGTTACAAGCGGAAGCCTACCTGTATATATTATCCAATACATATTAAAACCCAAATGTCATCTTTTTTTGTCCCAATCAGCGCACACTCCAGAAGCAAAGCATGGTGTATGGGGGAAAGTCAACCATCCGGGACCGTTCCTCTGGGACAGCTTCCAATGTGGCATTCACTCCACTGCAGGTAAGCATTGCTCTTGACTTATATTCCAGTTTCCTGTTACTCATCCATAACAGGAAAGCTAGATCATGCTTGGGAGGAATATGAACCTTCTAAGAATCTTCTGCCTTGTCTTCTTTTTACAAAACAGACCAAACCACTGTAATTTTCTGTCTTCGGTGCTCTCTGAGCTTGGTTGTTTTCTTGCAGATGTTTCATTACCCAAACTAGGTAAAATCATCACTGATTATGTTACTTAGTTTGGGTAATGAAACATCTGCAAGAAAATGAGCAAGCTCAGAGAGCAGCAAGGACCCCCCATTTCAACCCTGAGCTGCAAATCTTCTCCTTTGTTGGTAATCTTCTGTCTCCAAGCTGGGGGAATTAGAGTATATTACAGCCCTTCCTCTCCTCTCGAGCAGCCTCTTCTAACCTGATGCTCTCAGCTGTTCTGCAGTTGCAACTCCTAGAATTCCACAGCTGCACAAATCTTTGTTTTTATTTTGCCCATGCAATCTTTCCCCTATCTATTTGCAGGGTCTGGAGATTGTGAATCCACAGGCAGCTGAGAAGAAGGTCACTGAAGCCAATCAGAAGTACTTCTCCAGCATGGCAGAATTCTTAAAAGTAAAGAGTGAGAAGAGTGGCATCATGTCCACCTCATAGCAAATATGGATGCTGCTGTTTCAACCAGTAGTTGGAACCACATCACATGTGCTGATAGAGAAATCTACACTGGACATGGACCTTATTGAGGTTGAAGCTCAATAGACTATTTGACTTTTACAACTCAGGGTTCTTTCCAGATATCCTAATGACATCAGGTTTTCCCCCCCCTTTCTGTTCTCATATAACCCACCAGAGAGCCTGCTATTGTTTTAACTATTGATGCGGTGGAATGGTCTAATACACGGGCCGGCAACCCGTGGCTCCGGAGCCGCATGCGGCTCTTTGAGCCACCTCCTGCGGCTCCGGAGTCTGCTCCGCCATTTGCAGAGAGAGAGAGACAGAGACAGAGAGGCACTTGCACTTCCCTTCCCTCTCTCTCTCTCATGCCCCCTCGCAGGGCTCCTGATTGGCCCTGCGCCCGGGTGCCCCGCCCCCTGGGAGAAGGGCGGCCAGGAAATCCCTTTCCCAGGCTGGCTCAGTCCGAGGCGCACGTGGCCAGGGAGCCGCGCGGGGAAGCCCCGGGATCCCCCCAGGGAGCATCCCACCGAAACCTCCGCTAGCATGGGAGGCTCCAGCGTTGCCAGTGGACAGAGCTGACCGGTCAGCGGGCCGTTGCAGCGGTTCCGGCTCGAAGACGCCAGTGCCGCAGAAGGCCAGCTCGGCGGCCCAGGGAACGATGCCGTCGCTGGCCGCCGCCCCAGCCGGGACTCCACGCTGCCCAGGCTCGCCCTCTGCCCATGGGATGTAGCCACGGCGCCACTGGGGGGGCTAGTACCACGACAGGCTGTCTCTCGGTGGCAGTGGTGGTGGCGAGCGCTGCTCCGGAGTGCCCGGGTGGCGTAGCAGAGGAAGGCGCGGGGGCGGCAGCAGGCAGGACATGCAGCGTGTCGGGCAAAAGGCTCTCCAGGCTCTTGTTGGCCTACTGGCGGCACAGGACCCACCTGGGCGGCCATGACATGCTGCCACTCTTGTGGCCCTTCAGCCGTGAGACCACGCCGTGGTTGCAGCAGCGTGTGCACTTGGGCGTCGGCTGCAAGGGCGCTCGGGCCGGCTGAGCCACCGGGCCGCCCATGTACAGGTACGGGGAGCCGTAGCCGTTCATGGCGCCCTCTCACCGCAGCCGCTAGATCAGCCTCACTCGCGCCAGGGCCATGCTCGGCCAAACGCGGCGGCGCTTCCCTGGCTCTCTTGGCGCCAAACCAGGCGCTGAACTCGCCCTCAGCTCAAGTGCAAGTTGGCTGACGGCTCCCTCGCCCGCCTTCCCCACCTCTCAGGCCGGTCTGCGGTGCCCTGGGCGCCTTTCAGCGCTTTCTGCTGCCTCCTGACCCCCTCCCCACCCCTTCAGTGCCGGCCGCCTACTCGCCCCCCCTCCCGCCTCTAGAGCGGAGGCCCTGGCCGTCTTTTACGCTGGCCAGCCCGGCATTCACACGACGACATGGGGCGGGGCGGGACGGGGCTGGCGAGAGAGACGCACCTTCCCAGCCCGGTGCAAACGCCTGCAGTCCAGGTGGGCATGGAGGTTGGGAGGGGGAGAGGCCGGCTGGATGGTCTTGCGGGGTCCCACCTGGCTCTGGTACCGCCTGCGCTATGCTAGCCGTCCCCAGTGCTGCCCAGCTGAGCGCCCGCAGGGTCCGGATCAGGCCGGGCGGAGGGGCTCAGACAGGGCATGGGGGGTGCAGAGGAGCTTCCCCCAAGTGCTAGGGCGGAGGAGGGGACCCCAGTCATTCGCCAGGATCCCAGTATGTCTTGCTGGGCATGGACCTTATAGGTTTGTTCACCAGGATCCTGGCTGGAAGAGGGGAGGTCCCGGGCCGGGCTCGCTTTCTGCCTCTCTCTCTCTCTCTGAGCGCGATTGCAAGCTCGCTGCCTGCCCAGGGAGGGGAGAGCTTAATAGGGGCACGGGAGGGCGATCAGCCACCATTCTGGCTGCTGCGCCGGGGCTGCTACTCTCTTCGTGGCAGCGGCATCGCCTTCCATGCTGGTCCCATCGCAAGCTAGGCACGCCCCTGCAGGCTCACGGGAAGGATGGGAAAAGGGGTGGGCAGTGCCGGTGTTTGGGTGGGGGAAGGGAGTGGGGGGAGGAAGAAGGGATCCGTGGGGATATGGAGTGTGGGAGAAAGAGTCGGAATCCAAGATGCTCAAATCTGGGTGGGCTCCCAGCAAACGCGCACCGAAGAAGTGAGGGGAGAAGGAAGAAAGGAAGAGAAACGGTGGGGGGGAAAGCGCCCCGTTTCTTCTTCTTCTGGTGCAAACTCTGTGCTGAAGCCAGAATGGGGGGGGGGGNGAGGAGGAAGAGTGGTGATTGACAAACTGTGCCAGCCAATCTCTTTGGGGGAGGGGGTGCAGGATGGCGAGGAGGGCAGCTTGCCTTGGAGAGGGAGAGGAGAAAGAGAGACAGACCCTTTTGACATCTAAAATGAAGATAACACTGCATATATCCTTTTTTACCTTTAGAGTGTGTGTGTGTGTGTGTGTGTGTGTGTGTGTGTGTGTGTGTGTGTGTAAAAAAGGATATATGCAGTGTTATCTTCATTTTAGATATCAAAAGGGTTTTGCGGCTCCCAGCATTTTGTTTTCGCTGGGAAACGGGTCCAAGTGGCTCTTTGAGTGTTTTGGGTTGCCTACCCCTGGTCTAATAGAACTGAGTTCAGTTTTCAAAATAAGTTAGTTAAGCAGTAAGCTATTTAATGGCATATAAGAGCTGTCCTAAACAAAAGTGTCCTGTCTCCCCCATCATAGATTGTCTTATGTGTCAATTTTAAACTAATTTTGTAAATACAGACTGAGATGCTACCATTCTTTCTCCATTGCTATCTAGGAGCACTGGGTAGCTAATCCTTTCTTCTAGATTCTGCGTTAAAAAGAGATTACTTAGATTTAAAAAAACACTTTGCTTCCTGCAGGTTAGATTACATATTTCTCAGGAATTAATTGTAACAGGACTACATGTAGGAGGTGTGGCATTAGAAAGAATTTCTCTAATAGTGCTTCTGTACTTGGGTGCCTCCCTATTGTGTGGGTTTCGGCTCCCAGGATTCCTCAGCCACGTGGCTATTGTTGAATTCGGGGGATTAAAGTCCACCCATATGGAAGTTTTCAAACTTGGGAAAAACTGCTATAATTAGGAGTGCACCTTCCTTAATTCAAGTACCTCCAGATGGCTATGCTAACTGGGAGTTGTAACCTAAGACCTTTGGACAGCACGGAGTTAGGGTAGGAGTTACTTATATTTAAAGAGGGAGAGGTGACAGTGCGTCATATGTATCTAAACCAAAACTTGTGTTATGTTATATGTAGTAATGTGGTTGAGTGTAACTGGGAATATGTGGATAAATTGCATTCTATTTCTAATACACAAGTGAATCATTAAAAGGACAATTTTTCTAACTTCCAGGTGTCAATGGGAATTTTATTTAGAGTATTAAAATCATAGTTGTTAAAAATTAGTCTCTTTCTCAATCAAGGGCACAGGATCATGCTGGATATGTGTATGTAACAATAAGACAGTGAATCTGAGCTGACATTTCATTACTTTCAGGAAGAACAACTAAAGGGTGGTGAAATAGCTGAAGTTTTCTTGTATATTTTACTTACAATAGTTTGAAAAATGCATCCAGTGTATATTTTGGAAGAACCATTATTAACACCTGTATCTAATCCCATTGTTTTGTGGAGTAAGAATAGGGGAGAATTCTTGCTCTCTTTGTTTGCTGTCTTGTGGCTTGGACATTATTCTCCTAAGCATAGCCCTTACTTCCTATACCTTTGGGATAGGACTTTACCTTCTAGTAAACTGAGCGCAGATTAGATGCCATCAATAGTTGTCATCAACTCTTAAGAGACCACATAGATTTTTTTCCCAGTGAAATTTAGCATAGACAAAACATGTCACCATGCATTTGGTTGTAAAATACTGTAGTTATGCCTACCTCCATAATGATGGTGTTGCACGAAATTGACATAACAATTCTGTTCATTCCTGGCATACAGTATATATGTATTTGGTTATGTTTTTATGGGAATGGGCGCGTATCCCTGTTCTGTGGTGAAATTTCCCTTCAGAGAATAGAAGGGGTCAAGTTATTCACCAAAGCACCAGAGGGCAGGACAAGAAACAATGGTTGGAAACTGATCAAAGAGAGCAGCAACCTAGAATTAAGGAGAAACTTCCTGACAGTGAGGACAATTAACCAGTGGAACAGCTTGTCTTCAGAAATCGTGGGTGCTCCATCACTGGAGGTTTTTAAGAAGAGGCTGGACAGTCACTTGTCTGAGATGGTATAGGTCCTCCTGCTTGAACAGGGGGCTGGACTAGAAGACCTCCAAGGTCCCTTCCAGCTCTACTTCTATTTTATTCTATTCCTATTTCTAACCTATTCCTATCCTATTCTAATATTCTAGTAGCCAACGTTGTGAGACCAGAGATTTAATCTGGCATTTTCCATTGCTTCACAAAGAATCAAAAGTGGCTAAACCATTTTTGCAGGCTTAATCATGCTAGCAGTATTCAGGAGGTGAAACTCTTTAGTCTTGTTTTGTTTTGTAGCAATATAATCTGTTGTGCAACCCTGTGACCCGAAACCATTATGACCAAATAAGTTCTGAAAACAACCATCAGTACCTCCAGGAAATGCAAAATGCTTCCTTCCAATGGGCAAAGACAAGGAATCCAAACCTTTAGGGAAAGAGTTAAATTTGTAAAAAAAAAATATGAAAAGAATATTGCTAACAGACTGACCAATTTGAGAATTCTTTAAATATTTAAAATAAAAACCCAGAAACCAGCCACAGATTTACCTAGGGACCTAACAAGTCTTTAAGGCAGATGTAAGAGGACAGGCTCATGTGTGCTTACTAACAGCGAGGTTTGCTTGTTATTCTGTAAACGCAGCCCTGCAGCTTATACAACAATATGATTCAACAAAGCAAGGGATATATCACTAGTGAAGTTGGTCTCTCTCTTTGATATGCCTGTTTTATTTGGATGCTGAGATTCT